GGTGAAGCCATCACCTGTGACACAGGCATCCCATACAGGTGCTGGTTCAAATCCTGGCTGTTCCACTTCCGATCTAGCTCCCTGCTAATGGCCTGGGAAAAGCAGCAGAATATGGCTAAAGTGCTTGGGCCCCTGCCACCCACACGGGAGACATGGAAGAAGCTTCTGGCTTCAATCTGGCCCGGCCCTGGCCAGTGCTGCCATCTAGGTAGTTAACCAGTGGATTGAAACATTCTCTCTCTCTCTCTCTCTCTTTCTCCTCTCTCCTCTCTCCTCTCTCCTCTCTCCTCTCTCCTCTCTCCAACTCTTGCTTTCAAATAAAGAAATAAATCTTAAAGAAAGGAAATGCTATAAAAAATGTTGATCTGAACTTACAATAGGAACTATTAAAGGCTTTGGAAGGGTGAGAGGAGGGGGAATAGAGGGAGATTAGATAATGGATACTAAAACACAGATTCTAGTGTTTCCCAGCACAGTTACAAGATTGTGGTTCACAAAAACCTATTATAAAAGACAGGAGCTCCAGGGCTCCAACCATAAAATAGTGGTGAGGACAGAGAAACATTAATTCCCCTGATTTGATCAGTATCCATTGTGTACATACATTGAAATGTCACACTGTAGCCCATAAATAAATTAAAATTATTATTCATCAAAAATACTTCTCTTAAAGGATATTAAATTTCTAACTTACCTGATTTGATACTCATACTTTGAATACATGTGTTGACTTATCACCCTGTATCCCATTAGTATGTACAATAAAATCAATAATTAAAAATTTACATATTTAAATAATAGAAAGTTAATTTATAAGGGCAGTGGCATCACTAATGAGTGGTGAAAGGTGCTGGGACATTTGGTAGTTCTCACACATGAGGCTGTTCCTCAAAACTAAGTGAGGAAGCCAGGTCGTAGAAGACTCAGCTGATAGATCTCTCACTTAAACAGTCTTGTGACACACCTCTGAATGTAACTGCTAGAAGGTTAGTCATTAACTCCAAGACTTTGTGAGCCACAAGAAACCCTTCTTATATTCTGTGCCTGCTTAAACTAGGCGGGTAGATTCTGTTGCTAAGATGATAACTAATAAAAATTAGTCATTGAGTTTAAAAAGTAGTGTTTTACCTCTCACTTTTTTATGTTTAGATCTGCAATTCATCTGGAATTTATTTTTGTGTATGATATAATGTAATTATAAAATTATCTCTTTCTATTATGTGGCATTAGTATATTTACATATCATTGCAACAATGATAATTTGTTTGAATTTCTATAGATTTAAAAAGGTCTAAGATATTTTGGGATGCATTAGATTTAATCATAACTTCTCCAGCTCTTTTCTTCATCAAGATTATCTTAGCTATTTTTGACATTTTCATATTTCCATTTAAATTTTAGAAGCAGCATTTTTAAATTGTTATTTGTCCTGCTTGGTGTTTGCATAACTTCTTAAATCTTTGAGTAGGTAATTATCATCAGTTTATAAATGATCAGTCTTTACTTAATAATTGATTTTGCTCCTTTCTCTGCCTGTTATCCTTCTGCAAAATTATACACAGTTCATTTACTGTGTCCCACATGCTTCTTACTCTTTTCTGTATTTTGTCTTTCTGTCGATTTGGTTTTGCTATTTTCTATTTACTCATTTTCCAGCTATTTAGTCCTGTCTTTTGGTTGTTAAATTTGTCTATACAATTGTTTTTTAAAGATTCATTTATTTGTTTGAAAGACACAGTTACATAGAAAGAGGGAGAGATAAAAAGAAGGGGAGAGATCTTTCATTTGCTGGTTCACTCCCCAAATTGCTGCAACAGCCCAGGCTGGGCCAGGCCAAATCCAGGAGCCAGGAACTTCATCCAGGTCTCCAGCACATGTGGCAGGGTCCAAATACCTCGGCCACCTTCCACTGCTTTCCCAGTGAAGCACTTGTGACTTAACTGGCACTCATATGGGATGTCAGCACTGCAAGCGGTGGCCCAACCCATTGCTCCAAAATACCAGTCCCTATGCATCCAATTTTGAATTTTAGATTTTGTACTTCTTTGTAAGTAATTTTCAATCTATTCTCGATATATTCTAATGTTCTATTGAAATTATCTTTTACCTGTTGTATTCATCTTTTTTCTTCATTTTTAACATATCAGCCATAGTTTTTTTTTAAGATTTATTTATTTATTTGAAAGTCAGAGTTACAAAGAGAGAGGAGAGGCGGGGGGGGGGGGAGGTCTTCCATCCACTAGTTGACTCCCCAATTGGCCACAACAGCCAGATCTGCGCTGATCCAAAGCCAGGAGACAGGAGCGTCCTCCAGGTCTACCCACATGGATGCAGGGGCCCAAGGACTTGGGCTATCTCCTACTGCTTTCCCAGGACATAGCAGAGAGCTAGATCAGAAATGGAGCAGCCGGGACTTGAACTGGCACCCATATGGGATGCCGGCACTGCAGGCGGCGGCTTTACCTGCTACGCCACAGGGCTGGTCACTAGCCATAGTTTTTTTAAAGTCTATAAATGCTGAGATATAAAATCCTATAGATCCGTTTCTATATTTTATTTTTCTGTTTCTGTTTTTTGTTTTTACATCTTGGTTTTAGATCACACATGGGTAGTCATTCCCCTGCCTAGTGATTTTTTTGTTGAATTCCAAGTACTGTGTATAAAACTGTATAGTTTTCAGATGGAAGCCTCTCTTATCAGAGAAGCTTCATTCTTTCCCTTATTATGCAGTTAGTGTGGGAGAAGTATCACTTTAATCTCATAAAGGACTGAGCTGGATTATAGTCTTGCTTAGTCCAGTCTGTTTCTGCTGTTTTCATGCAACTAGGACAAAGTTTCTGAGGTTAGGACAAAGTTTCTAAGGTTTAAAATGATAGCCTGGCACTTCTTCTTTTCAGTGTATTGGGAGGCTTCATAAAAGGCAGCTCTGCCTTTCAATTTTTTCCTGGTAGTATTTATACTCTGTGCATGGGGTCAACCTTGAATCTAAGCTGCAAACCATGGCCAGAATTGGGATGAAGAAACTACAGGTCACACGATTTATGTATAAGAAGTTCTTCCCTTTTTCCAGAATTGTAGTCTGTTAAACTCTTATTGCTTCTGCAGTTTTAGGTTTTCTTGTTATTCATGAGGGGAGCACTGGTCACAGGCAGGCAATTCTGTCCTACCCACATGGAAATAATACTCATATAATTTGATAGCAAATCCATTGGGATAATAATTTCATTGACTTGTTTCATTTGCTGCTACTCCATGGGGTCCTGTTGGTCATGAGATCCAGAATCAGATCACCTCTCTTCAGTTTCACAACTATCACTGTGAACTGAGCCATCATCATCTCTCATGTGAAAAAAGTACATCTTGCTTTCATCTTTCCTGTATTTATATTATTTTAAAATATTTAATAATTATTTTAAAACATACAAAAATATTCCAATCACTGCCTATTTCCTCTCAGCCTATAATCCGAAACCCTTTGATGGCCTACAAGTCTCTAAATGATCTGGCTGGTCCTCTCCATATTATTCTCTCCTAAGTTTCTCCCTTGACCACTCTGCCCAAGCACATTGGCTAATTTGATGGATCTTAGAACAAATCAAATACTTCCCTGAATTCACATCCTATCCTTGGTTGGCCCTTCTACCTGGAGCATTATTTCTTCAGATATGTGCATTAAGTGATTTACTTCCTGAGAATGTCTGCTCAAATATCATTTAAATTATATTAATACATAATAATTATTCATATTTATGGGAAATAGTGAGACATTTTGATACAATACACAATATCTGATGACCAAATCATTAGCATTTTGATCACCTCAAATATTTGTCATTTCTTTTTCCTGGGAACATTAAAAATACTTTCTAGTAGCTATTTTGAAATAAACAGTAAATTGTTGTTAACTACACCCATCTCCACATGTTGTAGAACACCAGAATATACTCCTCCATATTCCTCTAACCATAATTTTCTACCTCTTGACCAACTTTTTCCCTTCTCTCTACCCCCAGCCTTTTTTAAAATAAAATAGGGTGAGCCTGTTCATCTCATTCTTCAATATTTTCATGTTTTCCCATGGTTCTCCTCACTATAAAATCTACTTTCTATTTTAATTTTTTTCATTGTTTATTTTATTCCTCACCATCACTCTCCACTCTGTAATATAAACTCCAGAAGTATGGGGTTTTGTTTTATTCATGGGTATATTCCAAGCTTCTATAAAAGAGCCTGGCACACAGGAGATAATCTGTAAATATCTGACAAATTAATGATTGAAAAAATATGTCACACATAATTATTTAGGTCTTTTCAAATGCAGCTCCTATTTCAAAACACAGAGATAAATCCAATTTAACCATGATCAACATGAATCTTGATATATTACTTTGATTGACTCCCTATATAACTTACCTCTAAAATTCTTACATGCATAAATTCACTTAAATTCTGTTCCATTTTTATTTTTTCTAATTCATTTGAAAATGGATTTATGTATCTACTCTTTTGTCTGTGATCTTTACAGCTACCAGGAAAGGAAATATGCTCAAAAATGAGCAAATCTCCAGAGTCACTTTCTATCATTTACTGTTGAGACTTGGACATAGGTGTATGTTGATGCAGGTAGAATGGATATTTCAAAACATATAAGCACATTCTGTTTGAGATATCTTACCCTGAGGAAGATGCTATTGTACTTTATATCAGCTCTTTCTCACTCTGTCCTCTGGGCAATTTAGAAAACAGATTTTAATATTTCAATTTAATGACAGAGGAATTAGTCTAAAATGGTGAAATAAGATATGCTGCCTAGAAAGAACACTATATTAAAGGCTAACTTTCTTTCTCCTAATCAGTTAGTACAACTCAATCTCACTCCCCTGACTCCCAAAGCAGCCAAGATCAACATTCTCATTTTTAGAAACACCTAAGGGACAGAATAGGATGTGTGAAGTTTCCTTTGTAAGAATCAGGCAAACAAAAAGTGAGAAAATACATACAGCTTCCAAACTTCAACGGGCAGGCATGCACATCCATGGGAAAATCTTCCAAATGCATGGGACACTCAGCATGAATTGTTAATCTAAAAGAAAAGAGGACATGAAATAAAATTGACCTAAAATAAATGCTATTAACACAAGATAAATTCCCACTCTGCAGCAATTGAGTGCCCCTAAGAATAACAGGTAATTTTGTTCAATTAGATTCACTGAGATTCAAATCTTTATGACTACAAGGGATGGATTAAATAAATCAGATAGCTTGTCAAAGCATCATTTTGTATTCAGATTTTTAGATCAGATCTGTATCTCATCCTATCACCTTTAGAAAAAAAATATAATTCATCTGTCCACTTTTAGCCACCCCCTAAGAAGCCTGGAACCATCAGTTCCTGACTCATTTACTCCTGATCACACTTTAATTATTTCTGAAATAATTCTTGATTGGTTTATTGTATGAGTTAACCAATTAAAAAAATTCCCTGAAGAGGTGAAACATGTAGAAGTAATATCTTCACCCTGATAGTGAACAGACACAAAGCACAACTCTGCTAATCATAGGAACTTCTATAACTATATTGAAAGAGATGACTCTTGGAGCAACACACACACACACACACACACATACACATGTGCATGCTTGCACATGTATACAGTCACACAGCAACTGATAATGTCACAAGAAAAAAATACAAAGGTAATGGAACTGAAGAGTTCACAGTTTGTCATGCATGGATTCCTCTGTGGAAATCTGGAAATGGGTACAATCTGCTATGTGCACATACTCATTCCCCTGCGTTACTCTGTCTTATCAATCTACTCCAAGGTTTCCTCCTGATTTCTATTAAAATTTTTGAGGCTCCACTTTCATTGGCCTGGATAGTAGCCTCCTATGTATAAATGGGACTTACAGTTATTTGGAACCTATCTCTGATGAGCTGTTTCTGTCTTTAATACCTCCTGCTTATATTGGTCCTGATTCCTGCCACATTCTTGGAGTTCTAATAGGTTGAGAAGTTTGTCATCATTTATTGTGTCATTCATTCCCCCAACAGCTTTCTCTTTTACACAGGCACTTCCGCTCATACTTTTCCAGGATTCATATAATATTTAGCACCAGAATTCCTACTTAATGAAATACCAATCTCTAGTCTAAGGACTTTATCCCACTTCTAGACAATTATCAAAGAAGCCTGATGGGGGAGCTATCTTGTTGAGGTAAAAAAGAAATGAATCCTGTATGTAGACTCCAGTTCTCACTGCCCTCAACCCCAGTGCTGTTGTAATGGTATCGGAAAGCAAGATCCTAGCAAGAGGATATCCCAAGACTATTGATGCTTTGTACTGGTTCTCTTTAGTTGATAAGAGTGAGCTACCAGGAAATATTTGTCAAATTATAGACATTCACATGTCTAGGAAGGCAAAGAGGTTGAATGTATAATAATTATTATTATGATAGCCATTGATAATAACTCATGAGATGCTCACAGCATGTTACAACTTCTAAAGCACATTGTCATCAGTAATCCATTCAGGTTTGCCCCTAACTTTTGTGATGTAGAGATACTAGTTGGTTGTAACTGAGAATGCTGCTTATCCATTTATTCCCTATGGTGAGCCTGTGAGGGGCATATTACAGGTATTATTTTCATTCCTATTTCAGAGACAAGAATTCATGGAGTTAAAGTGATTTTCTCAGAGTCACATAAAGTAGAGAACTGGAGTACGAGTCCAGTGTTCTTTCTATATCAACTATATTCTCTTCATCTGATGGAAAATATCTTCTCCTCTCCTCTTTCAGTCATGTGAAAGATAATCTAATTATCTGCCGTTACCTTTGAGTAGACATTGCCTAGGAATAATGTAGTTGTGGGAAGATACAAAGAGAAACAGAAGAACCACAGAGTTGTAATCCAGAAACCACACCCTCATAATGACTATTGTAAAGAAGGTGAAAGATAACCGCACATATACCAATAATTGTTATCATAGGGCGTGAGTTGAAGACATTAACCTGAGTATAGTCAGGGATTTTTCTGCTGCACAAAAAGCTGGAAGGATACTTGAAAGTTGTAGCTAGGTGGAGGGAGAGAAGGAGGTCAAGAAGAGAAGTCAGTATGGCACTAGAAGTCAGAGAGCATTAGGATGTGTTTAGGAGCCAATAAAAAGAACACAGCATGGTTGGGCTTGTGAAGTACCCTGTCCCCACAAACATCTGCTATTTCCTCCAAGTTCTGGGCTTAGGTAGGATAGAAGGGAAGTGGATGGGATAATAGGAAAGTTACTATAAATTAGTGCTAATTCTAATAACAAATCACTACCTTTGCATTCTGATTTGATAATCCATTTGTTGTGATCTTATTTTCCACATCCCCAGGACTGCTGAGTAAGCATAAAGCAATTTCCCTTTGGCATTACTCACAAGAAGAAGTATCTTGGAATTAATAATATAAGTGGAGAAGAGAACACGATTTTCTTTATTAAACCCTTATGGAATCTTTTCAGTATCTAACAAAAGAAGCAAGTTTCTCAGTGAAATATATTTTCCTTGTGTCTGATTCTTTGAGTCATGAAACCCTCTTTGTTCCTTAAGAATAAAAGTCAGATGGTAGGCTATTGCAAGAAAGCTTGAGAACTGAGCTTTTATCCAGGACATATGGGGAATTTTCTAAATATCCAAGGGATTAGTGAAGTTTCGAGGACCATTGTCACCTTATTTCAACCTCTTACATTTAGATGGTGTTACTGAAAATAAAAGATGAGTATTTGCTGAAAGACACACACCTGGTTTCTGCCTTCCAGCCTGACAAGCCTAAAGTGATACTTACAAAATAGCAGATAGTACAGTGGTTACCACTCTAGTCCAGTTAAGAGACTATAGAGATGTGAACCAAGAGATTAGCAAAGGACATGAAAACAGACACTAAAACTAATAAGTCCTATTTCAGTTTAGGGATTGAAATTTTCTCAACTTTGTTCTCTTACCTGTATAAAGGAATACAGGGGCCAGCATTGTGACATACTGGGTTAAATTACTACCTATGATGCCATATTGGTGCCCATTTGTGTCCTGGCTGCTCCACTTCCAATCCAGCTCCCTGCTACTGGCCCCAGAAAGCAGTGGAGGATGGCTGAAGTACTTGTGCCTCTGCCACCTGTGTGGGAGACCTGGAAGAAGCTCTTGGCTCCTGGCTTCTGCCTGGCCCATGCCTGGCTGTTGCAGCCATCTGGGAAGTGAAGCAGCAGCATTTTAGAAGAGCTCTTTCTCTCTCTCTCACTCTTGTTCGCTCTCACTCTGTCTCGCTCTCTCCCTCTCTCTCTCTCCATATGTGTTTGTCTCTCTAACTCTGCATTTCAAATAAATAAATGCATCTTTAAAAAAATAGAGACACACAAAATGGAGGAATCTGGAACACATCATGCTGAGTGAAATAAGCCAGTCCCAAAGGGACAAATACCATATGTTCGCCCTGATTGGTGACAACTGACTGAACACCAAAAAGGAAACCTGTTGAAGTGAAATCGACACTATGAGAAATGGTGACTTGATCAGCATAGCCCTGTTAATGAACAACTTAATACATTATCCCTCTTAGTAGTTTTTTTTTGTCTGTTCTACTTAATATGACTGGTTTAATTCTGTAATTAATACACAGTTATTCTTAAGTGTTGAAATTTAACTGAAATGTGATCCCTGTTAAACATAAGAGTGGGGATAAGAGAGGGAAAAGATGTACAATTTGGGACATGCTCAACCTGACTTGCCCCAAATGGTAGAGTTAGAAACATACCAGGGGACTCCAATTTAATCCCATCAAGGTGGCATGTACCAATGCCATCTCACTATTCCAAGTGATCAATTTCAGTTCACAATTGATCATAATGAAAGGACTAAGAGTCAAAGGGAGTACATAAACAAGTCTAGTACCTGCTAATACTAACCGATAGAATAAATAAAGGGGAGAGTGATCCAACATGGGAAGCGAGATACTCAGCAGACTCATAGAATGGCGGATGTCCTAAACAGCACTCTGGCCTCAGAATCAGCCCTAAAGGCATTCCGATCTGGCTGAAAAGCCCATGAGAATATTTCAGGCATGGAAAGCCAAGACACTCTGGTGAAAAAAAAAAAAAACACCTAAATGAAAGATCTCTGTGAATGAGATCCCAGTGGAAAGAACGTGTCATCAAAGAAGGAGGTACCTTTCTCTGAAGGGAGGAGAGAACCTCCACTTTGACTATGACCTTGTCTAAACAAGATAAGAGTCAGAGAACTCAAGGGGCTTCCGTAGCCTTGGAAACTCATGACTGGTGCATAGGGAGATTACTGATGCCATAAACAGGAGTGTCAATTTGTAAAGTCAACAACAGGAGTCACTGTGCACTTACTCCTCATGTAGGATCTCTGTCCTTAATGTGCTGTATATTGAGGCTTAGTGCTATAACGAGTACTCAAACAGTATATTTCACTTTGTGTTTCTATGGGGGTGCAAACTGTTGAAATCTTTACTTAATGTATACTAAACTGATCTTCTGTTAAAAAAAAAAAAGAAGAAATTAGCAATTCCCAACTTGACTCTCACTGGGATTAAACATGACAATAGGTCTGATCTGATTTCATCATCATTTAAAAATCATCTATTATTTTTCACTTTATGTTTCTGTGTGGGAGCAAACTGTTGAAATCTTTACTTAATGCATGCTAAACTGATCTTCTGTATATAAAGAGAATTGAAAATGAATCCTCATGTGAATGGAAGGGGAGAGGGAATGGGAAAGGGGAGGGTTGTGGGTGGGAGGGACGTTATGGGGGGAAGCCATTGTAATCCATAAGCTGTACTTTGGAAATTTATATTCATTAAATAAAAGTTTAAAAAAAATAGAGACAATAATCCCTGCCTACATAACCAATCCAATTACTCATTTGATAATTTCAATTACTCATCAATTACTCATTTGATAATTTTATGGATTCACAGGGTGTTAGGAGGAACAAAGCAGAAAAAGGAAGTGAAAACTTTATCTACTCCAGAATATTATCACTATCATTATTATCTTTATTATATACACAGCACATTTTCTG